AAGATTTAGAGATGGTTCATAGTGACGGCTGAACAACAAGATGAAGACGTTTCATGTCACTGAGCTGTGCGTGTGAAGATTCTTGGAAAGGTCAATGTCATGCTGCACATATGAAAAGCCCTACCACAATAAGAAAAAGAAAAAAATACTCAAAACATGCAGACAACGTCGAATTACTATATGGAATTGGTAAAAATAAATAAAAAGAGTTTACTCTCTATAATTTCATTTATGTAAAATATATATAGGAGAAATTGATCTATTCTGTTAAATATGGGAAAAGTTGTTACACTGAAGAGTTGTGACTGGAATGACTGGGATTGGGTCCATGTAGGACCCGAATTTGATGTAGCTTGAATATTTCATTCATGTATCTTTAATATTTAATGTACATGTTTCAATATTTTCAATACATACTGTTTTTTTTTTTTTAGGTTGAGAGAAGGTGAGTAGATTTGTTTTATGATATTGACTTCATATTGTCAAGGTGGTGGTCAAGGTTATCACATACCTTGACATTGTGATCAGTTTTGAAAGTATGTTGTAAATTCTAGGTTAAGAGCCAAGGGAAAATTAGTATTCAACTCCACAGAAAAGAGTAAACTGTTGAATGATTTCAGACTCACCCAGAAGTGATGGGAAAAATAGTAAAATAGAACAGGTATCGTGAAGAACACAAGAAAACATTGATAAATCCAATCCCAAATCTATTCGTTATAATTTTAAACATTAATGTACTAATTATCCTGCTTGATTATATTCAACTGGATATATTTTTAAAGCAATATAATTCAGGTAAAGTAGAAACATTAGAGTACAAAACCAAAACGTGCATCCTATTTATTTGTAACCAACTGATCGGCTAACATGGTGACGTGAATGTCAGAGAAATTTGACATTAGGGATAAAGCGGTTTATTACTATTGTAATTAATATCAATTTTACATTCTTTACTGGAAATTTTTTCTAATTTGCTTATGAATTAGAAACAGAATCTGGTCACCAAGTGTACACACATTTATATACATACAAACGTATGCACGCCTGTATGTGCACAACCACTCTCCTGTAACACGTTTGGTTCACACGGGCTTGGATTCCATGCAATGAGTCGGCAGGCAGCTGAACCTTGTACAAAAATACACAATTAGGTATTTCTGATAAGACTAGAAGATTTTGTCTTCCTTATCCAGGCAAAGCAGAACCTGGAGACACTGGAGTCTCTACTCATGAGAATGAAGGGGCTGACTGTTGCGAAGCACGCACCTATTAGTGCGTCCGTGTGCAGCACCCACCAGCTGGGGTCATGAAGAGCAGATATCAAAAGCTGAAAGGTGGAGGAGAGGGTGTAGAGAGTTACAAAGGTGCTCACCAGGACAAGGATGGTTTGGGTGGCTCTGGTCTCAGGGGAGGATCTGGGGGAGACATTGTTCCTGTGAAGGTGTTGGACCCGCTGCTTGTGTCTGTACAGGATGAAAACCATGGAGCCGCTGGCCCAGGTCATGAGCCCCAAAGGCACAACATCAGAAAACATCAACAGTGCTGCGAGCAGTGAGTCTGCAGTTTTGTCATTACGAACAGAGGAGCAGTATCCATAGTCTTTATAGCTTGAGATGCTTTTATTTTTCCAAGGGCCAGTCACGTACATAGGAAATATGATATTGACCAGCATGTGCAGGATCCAGCACAGGAAAATGGAGAAGCCCAGGCACCTGAGAACTTTCACCTTCAGCTCCGCCCACACGGAGCTCCTGGTGCTGATGGTGATGGCCTGGAAGACACTCAAGAGGGAGACGCTGCTGAAGGACACCCCCCTGCCCACTCTGTGAACATACAAAAGGAGTCTGCATCCCAAATCACTGAGGAAATCTTTCCACCCCAAAGCCGCCATTGTCTTAGGGACTCCTTTGCAGAGAATGGCCAAGAAGTTGGCTATAGTCAAATGCATGAGAATCAAGTCTATGGACTTTAACCTGCATTTACTGAAGTAGAAGTGGATGAAATGGACAAGAAGGGAGAAATTCCCCATGAGACCAATGGTAGTCTGTAGTAAGAAAATAATCCCTACTATCAAATCCTGGGAGGACATTCTGTCAGTTACAAGTGACTGATATGTGTCTTCAGAGTCAGTGGGTCCTGCAGGGAAAGATGAGACACGGGCCACATGTAACATGTCAACTGAAAGCCACTATTCTCCACCTCCATTAATTCCCACTTAGACATATTGACTTAAAAATTTCCTTTCATTAAGAGGTTTCTAAGTGTTCAACATACAGCACTTAAAGATCATTTGGAATATAGGCTATGAGTACTGTCATGTGGTAACTTCTTTATTCTCCCCCAATCTGTGAGGCAGGCTGTGAATTTCAGTATGCAGAAAAAGATGGCGCAGGAGCGGGTGCTTAGTTCCGTTGTAGGCATGGTCGCCCGTTGTGGGCATGGTCGCCCGTTGTAGGTATGGTCGCTATGAGTTGGAGCAGACTTGATGGCACCTGTCAATAACAATAGACATAGAGAAGTTAAATTATTTTTCTCAGTTCACATTCTGGTTAGACATAGAGTGGGGACCTGAACCTGGCTAAGATGCTTGTAATAACTGCATTTAACCACCGTGGTCTAGTAACCATGTGTGAAAAATGGCGGACAGTGGAGATGTCTGACCATTAACTCACGAGGAGAGAGAATCACCATCAGTGTCAAGCTAACATTTTTTCCTATGAGGTGTAGGTCAGACATACCTCTTCTCTCCAACCTTTTTATCCATTCTGATACCAACCATCTCCCTGCCTTGACACTCTCTACTTCTCTGCCGGGTTCAAGACTTCATTGCAGTGGCCACACAGAACTCACAAACCATATTCACGGTTATGGGGTTTATTAGGAAAGAAACAGGCTATAATTCCAGATCAGGGTCAGTTGAATGTAGACAAAGTCTCCCTTCTTCAGTGCAGGACGGCTCTTTCTGCTCCTCTCAGTCCCCTCAGACAGAGTCATAATGGGCTCTTCACGACAGGCTCCTCTCAGCCCTTGGCATGGCTTGTGTCCTGCTTGGGCAAGTATGACGAAGTTCTTTGAGCTCCACCAAGCAGTGTGCAGCGGTACCTCTGTCTCTGAGCAAGCTCCCTGACTGAAGGCCCTCAGCTCTCCCCCTGTGTGGGGCAGCCCTCTCTCTGTGGCCACCTCCCTTGGTGGGCAGCCCTCTTGCCGTGGCCTTCTGGCTCTTCTGCTGCCTTTTCTGTGCTGCCAGATTCTGCTGTGAATGAAGCTGCTTCACTTCCCCTGGGTCTAGGAGGTTCTCAGCACAAGGACCCTGGGTCCCAAAGATGCACTCCACCTGTGACTCTTCTTCTGGATGATGGTGAGGTTGACCTCAGCCTGTGGAACTGACTCCCTTTAAACCTAGTGGGGTGGCAAAACTGACCACTCCCCTACAAGCACTCTATACACCTTGTTTGCAGTAGCCACCACCACAAGGCTTCCATGCACCTACATACACTAGTAGCAGGCTGTCCAATTATCGTGTTAGGCCCCAAGCACCTTACTTGCATAGCCCTGCCCAGGCATTTTGGGATTTACAAGACAATGGTGAGAAAGGCAATGTTAAATCAATTCATCCAACCACACCAGCTAGTTAGCTGTGTTGTTCCATTAACCCAGTTCTGTTCTGATACCTTGTCATTGTAATCTATATGAAATATAATTTCTTTTATAATGTTGGTTGTCACAAGTTTCCATGGATGTGTTAAGATTCATTCCACAGGCTAACATCAAATTTGAATGAAGCTTTAAAGACTTGAATGAAATAAATACTCACTGACTGGACTGGAATACCGCAGGACCCCACTTCATGAGCTGGTTGGACGCAATGAGTCCAGGATGGCTGGATATGAGGGTGGCCACAGAATGACACATTTGCTTTTATGGAAGGAACAAAATGCACTGGCACCAGTCCCAGGAATTACCGAGCAATCTCATTGTGCCCTAAACTGTGGGACCTGAAACACTAGTAAGTGATGAAACAGTGGAGTGCAGGTGACCCACCACTGCTTTCACTTCTCCTCCTCACCGACTGATGGATGTAGCAGTAAAGCATGAGCAGTGAGGTGACATTTGTGAAAGATACTGACACATCCGTCACCCGAGGAAAAGGAAATCTGTCTGCTGTGGGGCCCTGTGTGTTTGGTAAATGGAGATTGATTTATTGCTTGATATTAAGTACTTTCAACCCAAGAAAACAGCACAGGATACATTTGAGCTTGACAGCGGCTGTGTGAAACCCATTATTATCAAGTTGCCTTTCCTTAAATGCTGCTTCCCTAACTTCTAGAGGGAAAATATTGTCCCCGTAATCAAGCGACCATGGATGTTTCCTGGGAGACACAATTACTGTCTCCATTAATGCATCAGGCACCAGAATTGGAGAAGACATTTCTGTTCCAGCAACATCCATCCATTCAGATGCACTGTTTCTGCACAGGATTTGATGACTCACGTAGGTCCATCCGGATCTGTAATACACGTCTGGCGGTTCCCAGGCTCACTTCCCACAATCCTGGCGATTCTCATGATTCCTGTGCAGTGGACCGGACAGCACATTGATTCAGGACCACAGCCTTGAAGCATCTTGAAGCTCAGGTTTTATGATGACTAGGATTAAACACCATCTCTGTTCTTGAAGATGACAGTAAAAGACACGAGGAAGCTTCATGGACTGGAGTAGGGTTCATGGCCCCGTCCCTCTGTTCTAATTCAGCTCAAGGTCAGACTGAGTCTTGCCTCCTCTGTGGCACTGGACCAGTTTGGAACCTGGAAGTTTTCCTCATTCCAATATGGTCATTCACCCATACCGTGTTATGTCTTCTTCCCTTACAGACTGCCTGTCAAACTGAAATAGAAAGCACTCACCTGACTCCTTCTCTCCAGGCCACTGGGCTCAGTGTGACGGTCATGACATTCAGTGTCTGAGGGAGGCAGCCAGATCCTGAGGCCCAGGTATTTGACTGTGTCCTCTCCTCCCCATGGAACTGAAACGATCGTTTCATCTCCAGTGGCATTGACAGGGCAGGCCTGGGGAGCTGAGATCATCTCTGGAAACTGTTTCCCCAGTTGTTAATTACCAAAACCAATTACAAGTTTCTGGTGACTATCTCCAAAGAGACCTGGAAGTGTTTGGGAGAGGCTCTTTCCTGTCCAGGATGCTGGGGACAGAGACGTCTCCCGTGGAGGGAGCAGGAAACACTGAGGTCTGACATGTGGCAGACACGGGTCTGTCTGGATTCTCTGCTCCTCTGAGAAGTGGTCCCACCCCAAATCTTTGCTCATCCTTAGTTCATGAGCTGCACCATCATTGAAGTTATGAACAGAGAAATGGTATCAGGCAAAATACCTAAGGATTCTTAAAGAGGTACAAGTAAGAAGAAAACCTGGTGACAATATTTTTTTCCTCACTATTTAGAAAAATGTTTCGTTGTGATTTGTGAGAAGGTTTACAGAGTAAAGTGGTTTTCCATTCAACGGTTCATCCATGTTTTGCTTTCTGGCATTGATTCCAATCCCCGCACTGTAACGGTGCTCTTCCCACCTTTTCTTGTGGTTACCACTTCCCTTTGTCCTTCTTTCCCACCCCTTCCCGTCTTTTGAGCTTTATCTTTGGGCAAATGCTGCCTTTTCGTTCTCTTATGGCTGATTGTTCTAAGGAGTGCATGTCTTCTTGGTGTTACTGTTCATTCCATAGGCATATGTATTGTTTGGTTGAAAGCTGAGCTATGGGAGTAAGTCCAGTTCTGGTCTTACATGGTGACCAAGGGCCATACATAGTCTCAGGTCTCTGTCAGATTAGTAATCTTGGTCTCTTTTATTTTGAGATTGGTTCCATATTTTTTCCCCATGTTTTCTGGAATCTCCTAATGTGATCCCTTTCTGAGTGGTTGACCATAGTAGCTGGGCACCATCTAGTTCTTTTTGATACCTTCTATCACCACTCTTATTCAACATTGTACTGGAAGTCCTAGCCAGGGTAATAAGGCAAGAAAGAGAAATAAAAGGTATCCAGATTGGTAAAGAAGAAGTAAAACTATCCCTATTTGGTGATGATATGATCCTATACATAGAAAACCCCAGAGACTCAGCAAGAAAGCTACTGGAGCTTAGTGAAAGACTCATCAAAGTGTCAGGGTACAAGACTAACGTACAAAAATTGGTCTGATTCCTCTATATGTATCAAGAAAGAGCTCACTGAAAAAAAAAAAAAAAAAAGGAAAATAATTTAATTTACAATAGCGACCAAAAAGATAAACTAGTTAGTAATAAATCTTACCAGAGACACAAAACATCTATATAAAGAAAACTACCCAACACTACTACCAGAAGCTACAAGAGGCTTACATGATCATGGATACGCCATGATCATGGATGGGAAGACTGAACATTGTGAAATGTCAGTACTACCCAAGACAATCTATACGTTGAATGCAATTCTGATTCTATCAACATTGTTTAAGGATATGATGGAAAAACCAAACAATAATTTTATATAGAAAGAAAGAGACCTTGGATAAGCAAAGCACTACTGAAGAACAACAAAGTATAAAGTCTCATGCCCCCAGATCTCATAACCTATCACACAGACACAGTTGTCAAAACAGCCTGGTATTGGTACAATGACAGGCACATAGATCAGTGGAACAGAATTTAGAAGCCAGAAATCAATCCATCTACCTACAGACAGCTGATCATTGACAAAGGACTGGAATCCATTAAATGGGGAGAAAGGCAGTCTCTTCAATAAATGGTGTTTGTAAAATCAATATCCACTTGCATAAAAATGAAACAAAGTCCATACCTCACACCATATACAAAAACTAACTCAAGGTGTATTGGATCAAAACCCTAAATATAAAACCTAAAACTATAAAGATCATCAAAGAAAAAATAGGTGACAACTTAGGGGCCCTAATTTATGGCATAAATAGGCTATTAAACATAACCAAAAATGCAAAAACAACAGAAGACAAACTAGATGACTGGAACCTTCTAAAAATTAAATACTTGTGCACATCAAAAGAAGAGTGAAGAAAATCAAAGAGGCACAGAAACTGTTAGTCCAAAAGACTAATGGACATGAGAACCTCAACTTATATGACCCTGAGACCAGAAGAACCAGGTAATGCCTGG